CTGCGCGCCATAATCTGTCCTAGTATCCAATCCTCAATCCCCTCAAAACACGTAAATAGCGACTGGGTACGAGTCTGCCACGGTTGGTGTTCACTCGCGGCAACTTGGACATTTTCTTCGACATAGAGCGACAGTTTCTGTGTCGATCATTACTTCCCAGTCTATGTCATTAATAAAGCTGCTACTGTTAACGCAAAAGGCCGAATTTACCTTTTTCTTTCCTTCTTTTTTTCAGTTGCTGGTGGGAAAAATCCGGGAAGCTCGTTCTTAGAGCAAATTCCACTCGTTGCAAACGAAATTATACGAATGCTTGCTTCAAGAGAGACATGAATAATATAAACAGTGTGTTCCTTCCACAAAACTTTAAAAAACGACTGCGAACGGCTGGTCATTAAACCCTTAAATTCCAGAGTAAATCAAAATAGTGTTTCTCCTCACGGTGTCAATATCATGGTCAAGCAGATAAGTGATGAGAATACAGAAAATTATCAATTTGGAATAATCTTGATGTGTCCCCGAATTCTTACAGCGAGCGGTAAACGAAATGTATGGTAATAGAGACTAGAGAGAATTGTTCTTTTGAGTGTGTAATTAAACGGCCTAAAAAAAGATTTTGGAGTTACTAATGACTACTCTACTCAAAGTAAGGTATGCTGGCTTCATATACATAGACTGAAGGGAACGTTATTCGGTGTTGTCTTTGAAGAACCATAACTTTTGTACAGTCGTTCAAGTTCCTTCCCGTGTCTAGAAAGAAAACTTAGCATCACCACAAACGCCAGAAAAGCCATGGTTCGGGTTGTTTGCCATGAAACGTTAAGACTGATCGACGTTTATTTTCTCATAGCCTGGCCGATACAGGTATCGAGAAATAAGAATATGATCACGTTGTTTTCTAAACATGTTCTCGCAACTAGGTATTATTATAAGAATTATGCGTACTTCAGTAAGAAGATTTTGGAGTTCTTAATTATAACAAATGGGAAATAACCGGGGTAAAGATTTTTTTGGGTGGCCTATAATTTGCACTTACCACTCGCAAAATGGGAGTTTCTACTAGGATTCATTTGGAGTTCGTTTGTGAAGCGAGTAGTAATGGTATGAAATAAAACAAGTATTTAATTTAGTTTAGTATATGTTTACTTATAGACTGCCTGCATCCTTTTATCTTTTGACCGAGTCTGACGCGCAGCTAATCCCGCTTCAAACCGAAACGAACGTCGTTTTTTTTTTTTCGAGAGAGACAAAGGGACTGCAGACAGTCTATTGTAGGTGATTAATATCAGTTTAGATTTTCTAATTCTTTTAATTTACTTCTGCTAATAACTCAACAAAAGAATATCGTTGATGAAGTGCATTCTTAGACCTTCTTACCTTCATCGGTCATTTTTGTCAGGGCCCTTTTTGTAACCGAACAATTGTTCCCTCGGTGTGGCCAAGGAAATAAGCTTTAAATTCTATTTTTAGATTTAAAATAATTTTAAATAGATATCTTCGTATTTGAATAAACATTGTTGAACGACTGTCAACCAAAAAAGTATAAAATTATGTTGTGTGAAATTGGGCATTAAAAGTTCATTGCCAAGTTGTTTGTAGGCATGCATGGCGTGCAGGTATTTTCTGTAGATGTTAAATACGTTCACTCCTTTCCTCTCCACTCGCACTTGTCAGGTAGTCGAACGAAATCGAAAAATGCTGATGAAAGTAGCAGGCCCTGCGGTGACGAGCAATTAATTAACAGTCTCGAACTGATCATTTTCAATTACGTCAATTATGTCAAAGGGCTTTCAGGCTCTACATGGAATAGACAAAACAAGGGCAGTGTTCGAGCTTTTAAGGCTGCCGTTGTGAACGCCAGTCTTAATCCTGCATTGGTCAAGTTTATAGCTTCAATTTCACAATAAGCAAGCTGTCTCGCTTTTCCCCAAAATGTCTGTTAATCAGACGAGCTAATATTGGCAGTGCCAAAAATATATTGTTGTTTACATACTATTGAACTCGCCAAAAGTAACCAACTAATGATAAAAAAAACGAGAGAACTGAAAGACCCACCCTGGCTTACAATGAAATGCCAAATATCGATCCTGTGATGTTGCGCAAAAGCCGCGAAAGCGATTGAATTTATAATCAGGGGGTGCATGAAGATATAACAATTGCTTGAGGGAGGGGAGGGGGTGGCTACTAATGTAAGTTTTGAGAGCCAACTGACAGACCCAGACCCCTTGTATTTTCGAACAAATGAAGGCTTCTCTAACCTGCTTGTCGCGGACCCAAAATGGCGCCCAAATGTTACTTTAGAAATTAAAGATAACGCAATTTTAGGTTACCAGAAAAAAGAAAACGGTCAAAAATTATTTGAAAATCTGAATAAAGTGTGAAACGTGGCAGCAAAGTTTATTAACGTAACGAAAAAGTATCTAAAGCCATATTAAATGCGAAAATTTAACCACAAAGTGGCTAAAAATTTGAAATATGTCGAATAGAAGACGCCAATCTTGAAGTCAACAAACATCAATAAAAGATTCAACTGGTCTTGAGTGGAAAGTGAGAACCATTGTCTTTCATCCAATCAGATTGAAGATTCCTTTGTGTTCACGTGGTAAACTCAAAATTCTATTTTTGGCTGTGTTTGAAACCGGACTCGAAGAGTTTGTATATGTATGCTTCTTGTCTTACCTGTTGGCTTACAGTGTTCCAGGGCAACTTTAAATTTCATAGGTTTACTCTTGCTGACATTGTGTTAACCGTTTCTTCGTGATTTGAATTCCTGTGCACTCTCCGCAGTGTAAACTGTTTGAGAAAATCGAGCCTGGAATTCCCGCGTTACTACGCTACGAGCGATAATTTTACCCGAATTCCGGTTGTTTGGTGCTCAAGAAGCAAACGAGAGGATTGAGTTTTAAGTGATAAAACACCGTTGTAATTGTATAGAAAGGAGAAGAAAGCCCGGCAACTGGCGTATGGAATTATGGCCATGACGTCGCTTCTTTCAGCTGAACGGTTGTGTCAGACCTGAATATAAAGAACCACAAGGCCTTCGCTTGGCGTGGAAGCTTCGAAAGTTTTTAATTTGGCGTGGCGTAATCATCCAAGAAATAGAAATTAAACGTACACTGTTTTCTTCTCAACATGGCTCCGGTATCCTGGGCTGGGATTTCAACAAGGTAGTGTATTGATAAAACCTGTAAAATGGATGAAGACGAGCAGGATGTTTACGTGGCACAGCTTCATGAAGTATTCGACAGTTGTGACCACTCTGGAAAGGGTTTCCTCAACAGGAGCGAGCTTGTCGAGTTATGCAAAAAACTACAGCTCGATGACCAAGTTCCACAACTGCTACAGCAGTTATTGGGGAGCGAAGAGGCTGAAGGGCAGGTACGTGGAAAAATTTCACGCTTGTTCACCGATAAACTTCGATGCCGTGGCGACAGATATTACTGGCGTCTGCGAGGCCATGTTTTCGAAGCTTATCTTAATTCAATACTCCTTATATATCCTGTCATTGGAGCATTGCTCTTAGTTTACGCTCCTAGTGACAATTGTATCAATCTTGTTTATGTTTCTGCCCGTGAGTTTAGTATTCGGCAGTATCATTCACTTGTAGATCGTTTTGTTTATTACAATGTAAGTAGAAATGTTTCGCGGGTCGTGAACAATCGGTTTGTTTACTTGCGGAATCATCGTTCGAGAATCAAATTGCTTCATATACAAGATGTAAATTTCATTGTCGATTTCAGATTTCTGGCGTTCAGTGATTCCGTTAGTTCATTTGTTATTGACATGTGACTGGTATTGCAGGTTAGCACGCTAACTGGGTTAACACAAAGTTTTCTTTAAGTTATTGCTACTGACACCCAAAGTGTTTCTTGTAAGAGTTATTGCCAGGGGCTTATGTGATCAGTATAATCACCAGGGCATGAAAAACAATTGCTAACCTTTCTCTTATTTTGTGAAGATGCCTACATGTATATTTTTTCCAATCAGCAAGCACTGTTCATTAATCTTTTTCTGGTGGCCAATCTGTTTCCAGATGGTTTTGTAGCTTGATACATCTACATAAATGTAATTACATCCTGAATTATGTGATATTATTTATTATGCATACCCCTTGTTGTGAGTTTGTTTGAAGTAACAAATTCCTCACTGATCAAACAGTGTAGTGACAATTTACTCACTTTTCTATTATCTGCTTGTTCTAAAAGTTCACCAAACTTTGCACAGGAACATGTGAAATCAACTACATGTATATGCAAGGAGATTATTTTATTCACTTTTGCATGAGATCTGCAAGGGAAGCTGATTATAAACTTCTTAACTTTGCAAAGAGTTACAATGCATTAATTCTGAAAGCAATATTTTCAAGGATTAGCCTGAGCCTTTGGAATTCTTTATCTAACCTTTAATTGGCACGTAACCTAAGTCTTTTGTTTTATGGTTGGATCAACATATACACATGCAAAATATACAACTGGAGCATTAATGAAGGTTGTTTGATGATACACACTGAGCTGTTAGGCATTTTAAAGTATAGATGTACATAAGCATGTAAGAACTAACTATATAATGTCCTGGTGTTTCAGCGACCTTGTGACGCCATTATCAAGGAATGAATAAATGAAAGCTAGTTCAAAAGAGTAAGACCTGTAGATTTATATAAATGAAGTTATGTTAGACCAAGACTTAAGTTGTTTCAAAGTGTTGAAAAAATGTAGGAACAATTGACTGTAAATTAATGAAATGCTTCACATCAAACAATTAAGACCACGTCGGAATGTACAAACAGATTTGTTCAGCGCTAAAGTCTTTGTGTAACTTAACTTCATTTATGTAAATCCACAGGCCTTACTTCCTTTGAACTTCCTGAAACATCAGGACATTATATCATTAGTTTTTACTTGCTTATGTATTTCAAAAGCAC